CGTCGGGAAAAAAAATTTTTTGCGGCTTGTGTATGAGACGAGCCGAGTTTTGGTAACTGTCAGAAACTGCATCCCTGCAAACAATGTTATCAGGCTTACTTTTTCGAACCCGTTCTCCCAAGTCAAAAGTAACAGCAATACTGCAAAACGTCGCAAACCAACAAATTTCATACATTTTAAACTCACAAATCCCAAAACAGAGCCAAGACAGTAAGAGAAAAACCGAAAGAAGCTCATCAGCAGATAACACAAAACTACATATCGGCATAAATCCTAGCGAAACTTGGGCACAAAATTCGAAAACTTCTCAGATGACCGGTAACCAAAATGGTCAAAAAGACGCCTGTTCAGCAATTCAATCCTGAAATTACTGTTCAAATTTCATACGCAGTACTCAAACTTACAAAATGTATTAAAAAAGGATTTCGCTTGATAGATAGTTACAACAAATTTCACTGGCTTAAAAACGCAGCAACAAGACTTCTTCGCATGCGTTCGCTCGCTTGCACCTGCTTAACTGGATTACTTGACTATTATCATTAGCGATTACCAAAATCAGTGCTATCATTAAATTTACATTTCAACAATGCGAAGTAATAAGATGCGCCAAACACGCACTAAAAAGCTAACCTTCTTCCAGTAAGTCCAACGAGAAATTTCCAGTAGGCTTTCCGAAGAGTATGAGGTTCGACCGTTGCATTCCATGCCACGAAACCTGTCGATAAGGCATACAGAAGTACGTCACCATATGGCACTGCAAGTCTTTTACAGTACGCAAAGTAAGAAGCCTGAAAAGTCAAGCGAGTTACTTCATTACAAACGTAAACACTGTATTGACTTTTTCATAAAAGGGATCTTGGATGGTGGCCTTCCTAAAAAACAGCAGTTCAACAGTAAGTAGCAGGAAAAGCTTCGATTCATTTGTAAAGCTTCTAAAAGGTTAAAAAAAACGTTTTTCTTTGTTTCTTGAAGAGGATGAAGGGGAGGGAGACAGCTTGTATGCTGTTAGTTAGCAGATCAGCCAAA